TTTGGTTAATAAATTGAGTAGCCATACATGCTAAATTAGAAGTAATTTGATATCATATTAAGACAAACAATATTCTATAAAGCGAAGCTACAAAATTCTCTAATTACATAAAACTATGGTCTGTTATGCTTATTTTTCCCTATGAAAAAGTCTTACTACAACTCTACAGAGTATTGCTAATATCCTTTAAAATTAACTAGACTAGATCTTGTTACACTGAATAGCTAAAATGCTTGTTCTGTAAAACACACCAAAAAAATCCATTAATTTTCTCAGAAGCTGTGAGCTTCTGTGACATTCAAAAGAAGCCTAAAACCTATACAATAATATAACAGCATTCTGAACAATAAGAACCATGAGGTACAGTACATAAAACATTTATTACGCAAGCTGTAATGACCAATTCTAAGCTTTGCTACTAATGCAATACTGGTAAAGCTTTACAGTTAATTCTTTGAATTATTTAGCCTACAGTTTCATGTAAGCAATATTGTATTAAATAATGAGAAAAATTAAAAAAAAAACCAAAAACAAATGCACAAAAGCAACAAACCCAATCTTTTGTCATGAGAAACCACTACAGGATCAGAACCAAACTGGGTAAATACAGTTAGCATATAAAAAGAAAAGTAGCATAATTAAGATTACTGATTGGCATTTACATGTGACCAAAAAACCAAATAAATCCACCCTACAAATTAGAGGGGAGCATTCCTTTAACACATGGACCACTCATATCAAAACACATCTCCAGTGCAAAAGAATTACTTTCAAAATTAATTCATCAAATAGAGAACAACAGCAATCACTAGAAGCTATTTTGCTTCAGTGTTACTGAGATACCTAAAGCTATGCAAAACCAAATTGAAGGGTTTTCAACATAAGGAGCTTAACAGAGAGCTGATCTGTAAGGAGGGTACATTCCCCAAACCAGCTATTGAACAGCATGAGGACAGACCTTGAAAGGATCCCAGAACTCAGCAGTCAGGAAACTTCAATACTCAATTCTGACTTAGTTCTGTGCTAAGTTATTTAATGCCTTGACTTTGCTCAAAGCTAAGTACTCACTGTATATGTGCAGTAGAAGTACTTCACATGAGACTGCCTCAAAATGACACCATCCTCTCCTCCACAGACTTTCTCATAGATGATTTTCAATTATACTAACTGCATGGATAAAGAGGGGATCAGAGAAGAGGACTGCCCCTAAAACATCACTGATAAAACCTGCAGGGGAAAGTCAGCAATAAATATATTTGATTATTTGATTTACTTATGTCCTAAACAGAAGGATTACAGCTTTCATGCCATGTCCTAACCACTGACTTCTTCACTATGAAGTTGCACATCTCCCCCCAGCAGACTCTTCTCAGTGGTACACAGTGACAGAAGGTGAGGCAATGGTCACAAACTGAAATACAGCAAATGCCATTTAAAAATATGAAAAAATTTCTGGTGGTGGGTGTTGTACTTTTACTGCAAGGGTAATGGAACTGCACAGGTGAGGAAAGAGTTGCTCTAGAGGTGTCCATCCTACTTAAAACTTGACTGGACAAGGTCCTTTGCAACCTGCACTAGCCGATTCCATTTTGAGTAATGGGGTTGGACTAGGCAGTCTCCAGAAGTCCCTTCCAACTTCTAACCATTCTGTGACTCTGCTTAAATTATATGATATAAACTTTTTCTTGTGTACTTTGAGTTTCCCCTCCCTGTAGACATCCTACTTTCCCACCAACCAGCATGTAAGTTATAATTTCAGGATGCAGTAAGAGACGTGGGTGAGCACAGGCTTTTGCATAAGTTGGAATTTTCCTCCCTGAGCTCTGAAGATCTGTGCACTACTAGGCTATTTGATACTTGACTACTAGGAAAGCAATAACCATAAAATCAGAGTTGTTTCTTCAGTCCTACATTTAACTGCTCAGATACATTAAAAAAAGTTTCAAGTGCTGAAAGCAAGGTAGCTTTCACTGCCTTTTGGATTCAGAAATTTGTCAAAAAATATTTGCCAGTTTCACCAGTTCAATACAACTCAAAAAGAAAATCTTACAGCACAGTCAAGTACTGATGAAATCATCTGTCCTTCAGGAAAAAACAGTTACAACTTTAAATCTATGCATGTGCCTCCTCTGAAACTTGTGCAAAAAGAGATATTTACATCATTTTAGCCAACCTATCATTTGGATAATTGATTTTCAAGACATTCAACAGACAGAAGGATATGAATATAGAGTTCTGGATAAAAGAATTTGAATTAAGCCATCTGCATGCTACTATACACAATAATAGATTATTGTTTAGAATTAATTTACTGTAAACAATCACTGCCATGAAACCTAATTAAATGAAAACAAATCATGGTCGGTACAACAGATTCCCAATGAACTTAAATTCAAAGCAGGAGGACATATAAAGACTGGATAGAGAAAATGAGGCTGAAATGTTTATTTAGTAACTATGAAGTGAATGTGCCACTGTTTTCTGAACATCCAATGGCAAAGACACGGTGTAGGGAGCTAATCCCTGTTTCTCACCAAAACAGACAGGAATGTACACTGGATAATTTGTTCCTACTGATGATATCATTCTGTTAAGTTTAATGTTTTTAATAAGGAACAAATTTCAGTCTTCTCTCACTTTCTCCCATGTACAAGATCAGATCAGCCTCCCAGTGACCTACTTTATGAGTCACAGTCCTCACTATTTATGATTCAGAAAAACGTCTTCTCTGACAGTATTTCCCAGACTACTGTGGGTTCATTCCAAGAACCAATTTCATCTTCATTGGTTTCCTACAGGAAACCAGACCAACTTCCTATGATTTTATTTTCCTTCATTTCAGCATGGCTCACATAAACTAACTGGAAGTGAGAGTGATAGAAAACTTTATTCTGCATAAACACAAGCCAACATAAACACCACCAAAAAAATACTGAAGACGTCACTGACTCAAAGTCACCAGAACATGAAGCAAGCTAAGATTAGAAGTTCTTTTCCCTCCTTCCCCAAACATGATGCACACAGGCAAACCCAGTAAGTTTATATAACCAAAGTTATAGTAAGAGCTGTTCAAGTCTCTGGTGAAGACATTCACCTGAACAGATGGCCAGGTTCCACTCCCTCTTTCAACACTGGCAATTGTTTTAAAATGGTAAGCACTGCTGGACTATTTTTAAGTCCTACCAATACCATAGTCAAGTCCCCCAGTCACCTGAGTCAACAGACTTAGGGTGCCTACCTTCTCTCCTCAACTGCAGCAACAGAAGTACTACTGGAAATGTTAAGAAGCAATCACACTTCAAAGAAGTCCATCTAGACTTCATGTAGGACTGTTAATTTTGCCTAAGTATAGGCCTGTTGTGTTCAGGCTAGCTTCTAAGAGAGCCATTTTCATTGTCCTTCAAGACACATTAGATTTCCAAAACCTAAGACTGTGCCAGCTCTTCATTGGCTCAAAATGTTCATGCAGGGAGATATTTGAGGAATAAACTTCCTGTATCCCATGACAGAGCCATGCAAATATCTATAGCAGCATCACCACCACCCCCTTGATGCCACCTCAGTGCTGTGATTGAGCTGCAGCAGCCACATGGAGATAGCTTGGTACTAGTATGTTAGTACCATGCTAACATCATCTAAGGAGGACAGGTAATTTCCATGGAGATTGCTATACTGCAAACCAGTTCAAGAAAAGGAATGCTGGGACACCTAGCTGTGGACTGCAAATACCCCAGCATAATTTGCTGGCTCTGCAAAACAGCAGTTCAATTGCCTTCTGGACCAGGGTTGCCCTAGGATTCATATAGCCTTGTTGTTATACTGCTCTACCTGAGCTAGTAAACCCAACCTTAATAACCATATTTACCACAGAGCAAACTCAATAATTCAATCCTGCAAGCAAATTACAAGCAAAATTATTCTCATTTCATCTTCATATTCTGCTGGTCTGCATTGTCAACAACTCCATTCTTTCAATGTGATTTCCTCTTGCTGGATTTCAAGGCTTACAGAATGATAGAAACATCAAGCTGCTTTTTGTAGGATGGCTGCCTTACAAAACTAAGGGCAAACTGATTTTCATGAAGCTTAAATGCTCCTTCACTTCTCAGCTCAAGAGAAGCCAGGGAATATTAACACTTTAGAATACTTCCACATCACACACAGTAATGACAGGACATAGGACTAGCACACAATTTATTTTAATGACAATTTGGTATCTGACCATCAGCTTCAGTTTGTAACAATGAAGTATGAATAAGTATTTTGCAAGTAAATAAAGGTCACCTGTGAGTAAACTGAGATTTTCCATAATACAGCAAAGTAGCTTAACAAACATAAAAAAAAACCAAATTAAAGTTATCACCTTTACTATTCATTTTCTTTCCTTTGGATGCAGCAGTACGTGCCAGGGTCAAGTGACTAATCTTTAACAAGCCCTTCTTGTTCCAGTTTCTCTAACTTGATTTTTGCAACCAAAACCCCAGAAGTTTCATAATACTGCAAGTAGCAGCAGACCTGTTTTCTCTATTTGTAGGTCAATCTTTCAAAGAATACCACCTGCATGAAAACTGGTATAGGTAAATTCTCTCTACAAGTGACACACTCTGTTATATGTATTGATTTCAAATAAACCAAATCATGTAGTTTGATGCACTGTTTGGCCTAAGAACACTGCATAACTTCTCCACTAGGACTGATCAGCAGCAAACTCCACAGCAAAAGTTGTTTCATATGGCAGAAAAACTAGATTTTTAAACCAGTGGATCTTGTTGACAATGACAATTCGACCTCTACTACTGACATCATAATATATATTCAGTATCAAACTCATGCAGTAATTTAACACTGCAGCAAACACAACTATCTTGATTCAGCAGTGTTTACCTGTTAAAGTTAACATTTGTTAAAACGGTTATAAATGCCGCAGTCTAAAGTAATTAAGGCAATATACCACCACCTCCACCACACATTCACAGTTCTCATTGCTAGAGGCTACTCACCTTGACATGGCTCTGAGCTCCCAGGTTGTATATTTCAGAGGGTTTGACTTCATTAATGATCTTCACCAGGCAGGTGCTGTCAGTGAGATCCCCATAGTGCAGCTTCATGTCTTCAGAGTTTAAGAACAGAGTTAATACACTTAATCTTAGAATAGTATTACATTCTTCGTCCAAATCCTATTTTATGTTAAAATCTGAGTAAACATCTATTGGAAAAAGTGAAGTTCACCAGCTGAACATAATTTTGCTTGGTGTTTTTTCCTGCTTTAAGCACAAAACACATTTCCCTGTAGTAGTAATGAATACTATTTCAGGTTCTCTTTTCAATAGTCTGATTTATCTAGCAACATTTATATCATTTGTTTAAAATTAAAAACTAGTTTACACTTCATTTACTCAGGTTGTATAAATCAGTTCAATGTCATATATGGAATTCCACAAAAAGGGTATTTTTAGTTTGAGCTTCCAATCTTTCAGTCACAAAAGTTTTAATAACTTCTTAAGCATACAGCAATAGCTTTTAACTTTTTTTTTTTTTAAACAGTATAAGGCAGCAAGAAAGTAACAGATAACACATTTCTCAGATGTTCAGCCTTGTACATTCCTATATAACAGGTTGATGAGGCTCTCCAGGTTGATAAAGTGATACAGCCATGGTATATTCTTGAAATCTGCTTTTACATCCCACATTGCTTGAAAAAGACATTCTGAAGATAGTTCAGACCCAGTTGAAGCTGTGGCCAACAGGTAATGGAACGGTAACACAACTTTTTTATTTTTTTTTTAAGATAGGGATAACTGTGATTAAATATGAAAGCTAGTAAGTAGTTTGTGACCATTCTTGTGCATATACCTCAATTATCCATGATGTGGGCTACTTTCATTCCTGACACCAGTTCTATACGGGCTGTGCTAGAACACCACATTTCCACTATTATGGAATGCAACTGTTCTGTTTCCTAAATGAAGTTCAATACATGGAAGTAGTTCTGTCTGTGGGGAGAGGAGGCTATTACAAGAGGAGGCTCAGGGAGCAGCAGCAGCTCTCTAAGAGCTTTGAGGTCTGCAAGAGCAACAAGTTCCCCTCCAGCCCAGGCAGCTGGTAGGAAGGAAAGAGGTGCCACAGCCAGTTTTTCTCTTCCTACACATGCAGTTCTGCCATCATCCCCAAGCCAGAGTGCAGTTTCAGAGCCTCCCATGAGAAGGTGGGCTGCCAGCTGGGCTGAGCCAAGCAACAGAGATACCCTCCCACTATTACCTTAAATTTAATGCTCTCAAGGGGAGTGCTCATTTTGGTCTACCATAAAGTCTTCAAAGCTTCTTGTCCATATGGCTTTTTTGAAGAGGAACAGGGTATAAAGCTATGCCCATTTTTTGACCCATGAGAAAGAGATCTTTCAAGAGTAATAGGCTAAGTGGAAAGACTTACTAGAATTGGGGTTTATTTGGTGCACAGATTTATAAATACAGATCAAATGTCAAAACCTCTGGGCTTCAGTACTATTAACCGATCTGAAAACCTCCTTAGCAAGCAACAGCTGGAGGGCTTGCTTCAGGAAGCTTGTTTCAGGCTCGCTTTTTCCTTCTTTGCGCTTCTTTTTCACATAGAAGTTCACTGTCTATGAAGAGTACCATCTTGCAACATGCGATCAATTCTTCACAGGAAGAACGCATATGGCAAAGATAAAATTCGGGTTTGCTCACATAATGACCATTGCCTCTTTGCTTCCTCCAGTACTGCCTGGAAACCCATTGTTTCCAAACAGTTTCCATGGAGCAGCCTTTCCTGAGATTCCAAGTCCAATTCCTTCTCCTCCTCCCATTCATATAGTTGCATTCTTCAGTTAAAGGAAAATGAGATAAGAAATGGGGAAAAAATTTAACGTCTGCTTTCTTTTTCTTTCTTCCATCCCTTTCCTTAAATGTTTGTACACACATTTATCACAATCTACATTGTCTTCTCAAATCACTTTTCATACTCACAAGATGGTCCTCACAATGCACAGGTTCCTGTTTCATTTCATTTGCTTCATTTTACCTCATGAGCCAAGAATACAAGTCATGGGAAACAGTTCTTACATTGTTCTTGACAGAAAAACAGGTTTCAGTATTTTTCATGAAGATATTTTATTCAATTTTACCCCTCTCTTAATGAGATATTTTAGGTACAGTAAGTACCAACTGTTCACAGCAAATATCATGTCAGAGTCATGTCAGAAATTAGGTATTTTTCAAAAAAATCACAAGCAAAGATCACATGAAATCTGTAAGTTGCATTGCATGTTACAACTTGATAAAAATAAGCTCTGTTCAACCATGGTGTGAAGCAGACTTCAAAGACATTATTTATTTACACCATGGAGATACTTAGTGTTAACAATACCTTAAATTGGATTATTTAGGACAGCTACACTCTGCACAACTCTACAAAATACACAAAGCATAGAGAACTACATGCTTGTTAAAGTGCTCAGTCCTTCTGCTGAACTGGAGTCATCCAACGTTTGAGCTGCTTCTCATTAAGTGACCACTTAACCTTCTTTAGGGTAAAATACTCAATTTTTACAACGTGTACACTAAAGGTAATAATTTCAACTTCTCAAATTATCATTGGTAACAGAGAATATAGTAAATTTTCAACAAATTTCCAAGAGCAATGCCTTTCCTTCAGGAAAAGCAGGTGATCGCTTCCTTGGGTGCAGAAATTTGTAAAGGTCCAAAGATTCATTCTTCCTGTCATCAGAAGGAATTGATCATGTCTTATTCATGCTGTCACACAGGCTGCTGCCAAACCTCAGCCTCCATCAGACACTCAGAAGCTCATGAGGAAACAGGAGTGGAGTATTTCAGATAACTACCTCAAAAAAACCCCCATTTTACTATTCTAACGTCTCAGTGTTTTTAACCTCGCATAGCTTTTTGCAGACCCAGACATTTTTTAACTTTCACTGCCCAGCTATGTGTGAACTGTGGCAGCACCTCTACACAACAAAGCGCTTTCCTGGGCCCCTTGTATTTTCCACTCTTTGAAACTCATATACACAAGAGCATCTATACTTCATGCCACATCTTCAGAGAAAAATGGTCACTTTTCTTTCTGAGATAGAGTAGCTAGCTAACATAACCAGAGGAAATTTTGGGATTCCCTCCCTTCTCCCAGGGACTCTTCTCCACCAAGCTCATAGAACAGACTAAATAACACATACCACCTTAAATAAAAAAACAAAACAAAGTCTTACTTCCTTCAATGTGAGCCTGTGGGTTCTTATAGAGATGTTCAATCCGGCCTGTATTAAAAGAACTAGACCGACGAACGATGCCATGCACCTGGGGATTGAACAAGTTAAGATACAAAAGATAAGTGGTAAACATTAAGAGGAAAGTCTTTATCACCATCACTCAAAGCACTCATATGCACAGACCTAACCCTTATATCAGGTAATCAGAGCCTGTATCTATTCCTACAGGTGGGCAGTTATCCAAATAGTAACATACTTGGAGATGAGGTCTGATGCCATCACATTTACTTGAGTACTCGTGTGGTTTCCCCTTCTCCCTTGCTGATACCCTCAGCAACCAGAGCATGACACATAGTACAGAAAACATACTGAATTGCCCTAGAGCACCAATCTCGTAGTGAGTGAGACTTGACATTATTACTGGCATTGGAGAAGAAATATGTGAATGCCAAGAAAACCATTTCTTCCTGGTTGCAGTGAAGACTTTCTGGAGGCAGAGATGATGGGCGTGGAAAAAGCAGTAGCAGGAGATGGGGCTGCAGAAAGGAGGGAGTGAGCAGAGAGGACAGAAGGGAAGAAAAAGACAAGGGGAAAGAAGGAGCAACAGCTGCAAGGCCCAAATGTATTTTCGAAATCAGCTGTCATTCACTTCCTGGGATGTTGGAAGAACAGCAAGAACAGTCAGTGCTGTTTTGTGGACCTCATGAGTCAGTGCTCTCCAGTGGGTTATGCGACACACAGACGAGCCTGAGGCTGAAACCCAGGTTGGGAATTTCCTTTAAGCAGCCACGATAAATAAGCTGGCAGGACAAAAAGCCCCACTGGTTCTGACTAACACTAAAGAAAAGCCCATTTGTGTATAATACATTAGAGAAATTCAAACACTGACCTTGTTTCCTCCTGTCCTGTAAGACAGGACCATGATGCCTGCTGCCAAAATTCATATTAGCTTAGGTTATCAGCTGTAGAAGTTGTGCTTGTACAAGTGAAACCAAGCTTAAGCATCTGACTGTCCTTGAACCCTCCCTGCCTTTTATTTCTGAAAGTGATCCCTTACACTTCAATGTATCCTACACTTGGTTTGATCACACCATCGCTTTACTTTCTCACTGGCTGTTAACTTGTACCTGCAAGCACAGAGCAGCAGGAAAATATAGTATTTTCATTTTACACATAACACAAGCTATGGTTATTAACACAGAAAATGTTTTTCATTCCATCTTAAGTCAAAAATTTAAATGAGTAAAAAAGTACACACAACTGCAGATTGAGACCAGCTTGCTGTTTTACGAATGACATTTTGGTGTTGAGATCTCTAAAAACAGCTCAATAGTCATCTTTATAACTTGCAAGTCAAATTCATGATGCCAATTTCCTTGCATAAAATCTCATGTGCCCCATCACATAGCACGCTCACAACATACCACGTTCTACAATTCAAATATTTGCACTTTGAGGATCAATGAGGCACTGAGAAACATGCCCTGTAAAAGAAATTTCATTCAAACAATGAATTTATGAAGATAAATTTTCAAAGATATGTAGTCAAAACCGTATCAAAATAATTATTTACAGAATATGTGGATAATTTATATAGACATCAGGTTTACAGAGAAACACTATCCAAAAAAAAAGACACTTCCATAATAACTTCACCTTTGCAAAAGATGCTGGAAATATTTTGAGTACTCAAACGAACTACTGTTTGCTGAGTAAAATATCAGACTTCGCAGTTTTAAGGCAACAAGTTATTCTAAAGGAAGCTAACTGAGGTACTTTACAACCAGGGAGTTTTAGACTGAATATTAGGAAAAAATTCCTTCATGGAAAGGGTTGCCAAACACTGGAACAGGCTGCCCAGAGAAGCAGTTGAGCCACCAACCCTGGAGGTATTTCACAGACATGTAGATCTTGCATTTAGGGACATGATTTGGTGATGGACTTGACTGTGTTGCATTAATAGTTGGACTGGATGATCTTAGAGGTATTTTCCAAGTTAAATGATGCTGTGATTTTTCTAGCAAAATTAAAGATTTTGGCTTAAAGTTCTGATGAGGGACTTTTTGAGCACTCAAATATCTATCTCTGAATGAAATCATGCTAAAATTCAAGGTCATGTGAACGATTAAGTCAAACCAGTAAGTCAAATCTTGCCAGCTCAAAGCTTGATGAAAGATTGGGCTTGCAAGAGCTTTATGTCAGCTGAATGACTGTGATTCCAACATTTGACCAATGAGATATGCTAAATGCAATCATCCCAGGACTTCAAAAGTTTCAGCAAACAGACAAATCCAGAGAGCCATCCAGCAATAACGAGAAAGCATGTGAACTCTGCTTTTTTCTTTTCTTCTTTTTTTTTCTCCCACTCCTTTTTCTGGTATGCACACACAAGAGCAGGAAAACCTGTCAAATGCTTAATCCATGACAGCAGTGTAATTGTAAAAAAACTGATGAAAGGTACCTTTGTCTGCATGGGACAGGTGAAATGCAAACTCTGTGACAAGCCAAAATGTGTGCAAACTGGTTAATCTGGTTAAGAATGTAAGATCAGTGGATTTTTCTCAACAGGCCCAGATCTTTAAATAGATTGAAATCTAAAAAACCCACCAAGTTAAATGAAGCATCTTGGTTAGGGAGGCAATCAGTTATCACCTGTACTCTTGTGTTCAGTTATTCAGAAGAAGAGGTCTCTAACTGGGAACACAGGAAAGAATTCCAAGAAAGTGACAGAGAGTTAAGGAAGAGAAGAAAAAAACACTCTACCCAAGCCCAGTAACCCTTCTATTGTGGAAAGGGTTATATTTCATTTTATTTGCTGTTGGCAGTTCCCAACTTCATTGTGGACTAGGAGAGAGTATATGCTTTTGTGTTCAAAGTAGCAGAAGCAACCACAGTGATGTGTCTCTTCCACAAATGGAATGAAGAAATAGTAAAAAAAAAAAAAAAATCAATTTACAACACTGAAAAGCCAGTATCAATAAGCAAATCAATCAACAAAGCAGGAAAAAGGATGGAATAAGCAAGGTAAGATTAACCTGGTACAAAAGCATGGAAAGCACAGACTGTCTGAGAAGAGTCTTCTCACTAAGCTATGAAGCAGTATTAAAATAGAAGTAATAAAATTCAATATTAGAACAAGTATTAGCTTTTACTAAAACCCCAGAAAATACTACATTGTGAGGAAATGAATTTGACCACCCCTCTCCTTCCATTATTGTACCTTTTGGAAGCATCTTTCATGACTGAGAAGGCAAATATTCTTACATTTATGTCTACATCAGTTCAAACACATCAAATCATACAGATGGCAACAATGTGATTGTTGTTTTGCTAGGTCACAAGAAATATGATTTTTGCCAGGGAAAATTATGCAGCAAGTAGGAATTAGACTCTCCTTATTGCAAGGAAAAGGTAAGTAAAAATCATATGCTAAGCAAGAATATAATTACTCCAAGAGAAAAGGTAGAAAGTAACTCTACTAAAATACAGGTTGTTTGGGGTTTGTTGTTTGGTTTGGTTTTTTTTTTTATTATTTTTAAACAGAGAAAGCAAGATGCAAGGTTTTCATTGCTGAAATTTAAGTGCCAAAATAAAAGGGCCTTTACTGTGAAGAGAGAGGAGGGAAAAGAGAACAAACAAGAGATTCTTATTCCTTTATGTGGTACATTTCATAATAAATTATTCACTAATTCCTTACAGTTTTGGCTCACACAGGTCGCTGCTTATCTGAGTTGGCGGGAAACATGCAAAGCAGCTATACCCTGAGGAGAAGAGGGAATCCACCAGTGGACATTAGATGATAAATAGTACAATAACCTGGCATGATTACAGGCCATGTTGCACATTCCTCTCTGGAGTTTTGATTTGTTATCTAGGGCTGGAGTGGAAAACATACACAGAGAAGGACAGAAGCAGAGGAAGCCGGACGGAGCTGCAGCATCCAAATGACTCCATCAGCCTGCAACCAGTCACCGAGTCACTCACCTCGTAGCCTTTTTCCAACAGGAACTCAGCCAAGTACGATCCATCCTGGGAATAGTAAGACATAGGAAAATGTTAGAAATACATTGAATAGGCCTGGGAGATTTGGACTGCTTAAGATTTCAAAAAAGGGAAGAAAAAAACCTTGTAGTGAGTTGGTGGGGTAACAAGCACATACTTTGATTTCTCCAGATTCATATACTGACCTAAAAATACCATAGACTCTTTTTAGTTAATTTTAGATTAAGAAGCAGTATATTTTAAGATAACTTGCTTACAAATGCTGGTTGAGAACTCCTGTCTCTTGAATTTCTTCCCAAGTTCCATTATGAAGTGCCTAGGGACATCTTTCCAAAATATCCTAACTAGAGTTTCTGAATATGAACTATTTTGGACATAGGGAAGGAAAAACATTTAAATACAAAGTAGTGCAAGCTTGGCATACTCTGCAAACCAATATGTCTCTGTAGCACTGTCTCATGCTGGCATCTCCCTTGCACATGCGGTCCTTCCACATAGCTTCTGAAGGCAGCAGTAACTCTGTCTGCCTAACCAAGTTTTCAAAAACATCCCTAGCACACCCTATACTTATAATACAGAATACAAGCCATTTTCACATTTTATGTATCACTGAGGGCTGAGAATTTGGATCATTTATTTTTAGGAATTTTCTTTTTTTTTTTTTTTTTCCCTGAAAGCAAATACTCTAAAACACATTTAAAGTGCAGGTTTTCCTGCAATAAGATGATTTTTCTGGTATGAGCATTGCCAGGATTACCAAATACAGTAAGTCATATCATCTTTATAAATGTGTACACACCATCAGAAACCCAGTTTATCCCTCCAAAAGAGTTCTCACTACCCAATTCAGTGAATATTACTCATGCCCAAAGTCTGCATCTTCTCACTGACTTTTTGAATTGGTTGTTCCTTTAATATGCAAGCGTATTTCACCAGAGCCAAATGGCTTGCTACAAAAAGACCATAAAAACATTGAAATGCCACATATGCTTACATGCTTAAACTCTATTATGTGGATCTGCTCTGTCATGATCATGGCCAGAGACATTCAAGCGCAAAACCAAGGAGACACCTCTGTGGTCATCCTTTAAAAGTATGTTTCTTCAGAGAATTGTTTTTTTTTTAACCTCAGATTAAATGATTTTTTTTTTGCCTCACAGAGAGCCTAAGGAGAAAAAGATACTGAAGTAAGACGTTTTGAGATGCACTAGGAGGCCCTAGTGCAGCAGAACTGCCAGTAGAGACTGCTTACTGCACTGATGGAAAAATCCTGGGTGTATCTATGCAAAATGGCACAGTGCAGTGTACAAGGGGCATGTTGCTCTACGTTTAAAACTTCAGCACTAGAAAAAAAATTAGTTACATTATGGTATAAATGCTTTATAAAGTCCTACACAGTCTAGACAAGCTTGAAAACAAGAAAGAAAGCCTCAGCTTACATACTTCTCCCACTACACGTACATGTGCACCAAATTTTACAGGGCTATAACAACAGCCACCAGTCTATGACACCCATTGATTGGGAACATGACAAACCACATCTGCCATGGCATCACTGGAATCATATGTACTTCTATACATCAAATGATAATAACAAGACCCTACTGAAAGGAAAAATTCAAAGAATATTCAATGGAAAATCTGGAGGAACATGGGGCCAAAGCAGGGGATGACAGCTACCTTGAGTGCTTTTGTCATCTTTTTCATTAATAATTCCCCCAGGAATTAGCAGAGTGCTCAGTCCACTAAAATAAAAAAAATAAATCAAATAAAAAAGGAGGTGAAAGTGGGAGACTCGGCCCAGAGAATGCAAAGGAGATGAAAAAAGAAAGGCTGTGATTACTTAGGAAGCTGATGGGAAACAGACTTGACTAGGATTGAACCCTGTCAATAAGGTCTTGTTCTTCTCACCCAGGCCATTGCTCAAAGTTTCCAGTCGCCCTGGAACATTTTGAACCAGCAGTGGCACTTGCTTCCTCTGAGCTTCCTTTCCAGGTCTATCAAGTGATAGGGCAGGGCTTTACAATGAGTGGGAAACAGGCAGCAAGTGTGAAAGCTACTGCTTTCTGGCTCTAGCACAGCACAGCTGATTTACTGTCTGGTAATCGCACACAGTGCAGATTCACGCTGTCCTGCGCTGAGATACCATATCACACGTGGCCCCCAGGTTTTGCGTTTCCCTTCCTTTTCTTTTCAGAACAGAAGCCTGTCAACGCAAATGGTAATCAGAACGGTGATCAAAGCGTCAAAGAGTTTGCAGCCGGTAAGGACAGTACTGTTTCCATCTTTTCCTAATGAGGACAGAGAGCACATAATATTAAGTAAGCTCTATTAAGTGATCTAAACCTTTATCCATAGGACAATGCATTATGCATGTAAATTCTATTATCAAAGCTATTCATTTCCATTTATACCACAAACAGAGCTTTCAGAATTCAGGAATCACTGAACCAGAAAAGGGATATTAAAGGAACTAGGTGTTTAGCAAAAAATCTCAGGTTTTGTTATGGTTAGCACATTTTGCTTTATTTGAGCCACATGATGACAAACATTCATTCTGAGTTTGTATCTGAGTAGGAACAGACCAGCATGAAGTGCATGACTTGGTATGACCTGTGAAGCTGGGGACTAGGAGACAGAGTCTTAACAAGAAATGCTTGTAATGACCTTGATCCTATTTTGCTAAGTGTTTTACCCCAAGACTACATTATGTCCTCCTTAAGACTGAAAAAACCCAAACAGGACCAGCATGCAACCAGCAAGGCATAAGTACACCCAGACCCCAATCAGATCACTGAGGCAGCTATGGACAGTTACCCTACTCCCCACGTCAAATACAAAACCTAAAAAACCATGGTCTATACAGACTAGAGTGCTTACTTAAGCACTCCACTGCGCAGGATGCTATTCGACTTTAGACGTGTCACATTTGAGAGCTTAGTTTTGCTAATGTAAAGTATCCAGCTAATACTATTCCATTGATAACAAATCAACAAAATCTCAGATGACAAAAGCAGGTTTTGTCTGCAGACTAAACATCAATCTTAAAAGAAAATTGCCTACAAACTGCCTTTAAGTAGGATTGCTATGAAATCTGGCTCTGTGTAGATATGTCAGACCAGCTTGAACGATCAAAACAGCTCAAAAAGATTGATTAAATAAACCTCCTCAGTTAAAACAGTTCCTCATCAGCACACTCTAACATGTCAGACTTAAAGATTGACTGTGCTGTCTTCAGCCAAATAGTAGTTTGAAAGCTCACACAAAGAATGATACTTCAGCAGGCTTCCAAGACACAGCAGCAGGTTTCCAAACTGCAGCAGCCTTACAATGCCTGTAAAATTCCCAGACAAAAGAAAACAGTCACATAAACTAGCATGAGACAACTTTAGGATGCAATATTTTATATTTAATACACTAGTTAATGTCAAGAACTTCAATAAGTTTTGACACACTATCAAAGAAAACCTCTTCCAACAGGGTGAAGAAATTGAGACATAAACAAGTTAGACAGTGCTTTGCCACAATCATCTGGAATAAAAACAATATCAAGTTTGACTTGATCCATGAGCAAAGAATAGGATGATTTATACAGAAAACCAAAAGAAGGGGAATTAAATAGCTTGTTTAACAATCAAATATCCTTCATTTTGCACTGTTTTACACAGGGAAACTCCACTTGCAATGAACTCGTTTTGGATTTATATTGACGCATTCAGAGAAGGCTGTAAAAGCAACTTGAAATGCAAGACATCTTCATCCTCTTCCTTTGATATGGGCAGTTCCAACACTGTTCCACACAGCCCTTGGATTCAAGAACTAGATAACAACCTACCTGATCATTCATAATCTAGAGGATTCCCTCTTTCCCACAGCTCGTCTCTGCTAATAAAGTGGAGTGGAAGAAAGTACTAGATGTGTGAAACAGCACAGGAAAAGAGACCAAGGGGAGGAGGAACAGAGTTCTTGTATTACTATTCCTAGAACTCCAGAAGAAATATATGGAGTGCCTTTTCAGAAGGAGGGAAAAAGAATTAAAGACCTAACACAAATGATGCAAGTTTATTATGACCGTATTACTGAGGAGAAAGGGCTCTGAATTGCAGGGGAATAATGTAAACAGTTGAAAAGAAACCCCACAGAATACCAAGTTTTCCAAATTCACTACACCTTTGGGGAAAAAGGTGTAGCAATTATCCACATACCACAGAAAAGGCCAAAGGTGTTCCTATTTATAAAATTCAAAACTGTTTGAGGCTAGGAATTACTACAAAGGTGAGTTTATGAAGTTCAAACTATGGATGGTGTCAATTACCAAGGTCATTCTTAGTTCTAAATTCCTTTTGAACTACAAACTATAGCTGTGCTCTGCTGAAGTTAAATTTCGAGAGGTTCAATTAATCTGTTTGGGGGACAGTAGGTGTAGAAGAGGCAAACTTTCAGCCACAGGACACGGATTTTATTTCTTAAAGGCATCTTTCTGCAGTAATATCAGCAACAATGCACTGTTACCATTTTCATTTAGCCTTGGTTGAACGAATAATCTATACTTCCACTAAAATATGCAGAACCAGTGCCACTAGTGCCTTGCGCAATAAATTGTCGCTTCATCAAATTTTACACTTTTGCACAGCTATAAGCCAATGCTATTTCAAAGACTTAGAAAATTGAAGTATGGTGACAGATCCTTTGGAGCAGGGAATACACACCATTCTAAAGCAACATCTAAACCATTTTAATATCAACCCATACTAGTAACAATTCATTTCTTTGTAGCACTCCAGAAAAGTCTCCCTTAAGAAAAGAATCCATGAGGGTAAAACAGTGTTATTTTTGTTGAAAAATGCATACTTCTAATAATTTCCAGTGATTTACAGAGGAAATCAGTAATTTTTTGCAGCTACTATAAACAGAACAGTGCTGCACTTTGTCTCAAGTCTTCAAGGTGATACTTGAGGTAAAGCATTAAAGCATTCATAAAAAATGCCCATACTGAAAACAGGAAAAATTATGAACTCTGAAGTATT